AAGTATGGTAGGGACAATGTGACGCTTGACACTGTTGTGAATGGATTAAAAAGTAAAGAATTAGATTTAAAAGCGCATAAGGGGAGTAAAAATTCGGGTGAGGTTTATTTTGTTAGAGGGAGACAACAAAATAGATTTCAAAATAAAAACCCCTCTAACAATAATGGTAACCAACCTGAAAAGAAAAAAGGTAAAGGAAAAAGCCGTTCTAAATCCCGTCCGAAAAATCGTAAATGTTACAATTGTGGTGATGTTGGGCATTATGCTAAAGAGTGCACTAAACCGAAAAAGAATCAAGCTAATGTGGCCTCGTGTAGTGATAATCTTGGTGATGTGTTTGTGGTGACTGAAATGTGTGAAATGCATGCTGATGTGAATTCTATGCATTCTTATTTGTGTGAAAATGAATGGCTAGTTGATTCCGGTTGCACTTTTCACATGTCTCCATTTAGAAATTTGTTTTCTAACTACAAAGAGGTTAAAAATGGCTCTGTTTCTATGGCAAATGAGAAACTTTGTGATGTTGCTGGTATTGGTGATGTGTGCCTTAAGTTTAATTCCGGTTATGTGCTTTGTTTGAAAAATGTTCGTCATGTTCCCGATTTGTGCCATAACTTGATATCTTGTGCTGCCCTTGAGGATGACGGGTTAGAGGGTAAATGGGGTAAAGGGATTATGAAAATTATGAAAGGTTCATTGGTTATTTTCAAAGCTGAAAAAAGGAAAAACTTGTATGTTTGTGCTGCTACTTGTGAATCACATGCTGAAATTTCTGTAAATGCTGTTCATGAGGACCAAACTGATATTTGGCATAGACGTTTAGGTCATATGAGTAGCCGTGGTCTTGAAATTTTGCATAAAGCGGGCTGTTTTGGTAAAGATAAATTATCATGTGTGCCGTTTTGTGATTCTTGTGTGTTTGGCAAGCAACAACGTGTTAAATTTCCTGTTTCACCTTCCCCTAAAACCTCTATATGTTCGGAAATTCTTGAATATTTGCATGCCGATGTTTGGGGTCCCGCTAGTGTTTCGACACATGGTGGGAGTAGGTATTTCTTGTCTGTGATTGATAATTTTTCTAGAAAGGTCTTTGTGTTCCTTTTGAAAAATAAGTCTGATGTGTTTGAAACGTTTAAGACTTGGAAAACCTTGATTGAAAACCAAACCGGTAAAAAGATTAAAATTCTTAGGACTGATAATGGGCTTGAATTTTGCAATAATTTGTTTGATGAATTATGTGCTCAATCTGGTATTCAAAGGCATAAAACCGTGCCTTACACCCCTCAGCAAAACGGTGTTGCCGAGCGGATGAATAGAACTTTACTTGAAAGGGTGAGGTGTATGTTGTCTAGTTCGGGTCTTTCAAAAAAGTTTTGGGGTGAGGCTGTTTTAACTGCTGCTTATTTGATAAATAGGTCGCCTTCTGTGCCTTTGAATGGTAAGTGTCCTGAGTTTATTTGGTCTGAAAAGGAAATTGATTTTTCAAACTTGCGTGTTTTCGGTTGTGCTGCATTTTGTCATACGAAACTTGATAAACTTGAACCCCGATCAATGAAATGTGTTTTCTTAGGATATCCTGAAGGTGTTAAAGGTTATAGATTGTGGCTTAGAAGTGTACCCGGCTTTAAGGTCGTGATAAGTCGTGATGTTGTGTTCAATGAATCTGAAATGCCATGTTTAAATGCTCCTTTGCCTGCTCCTTTGCCTGATGAATCTGAAAATGCTCCAAATGCGGTGGAGCAATTGAGTGGTTTAAGTGATTTCGAAAATTCTGAAAATTTGCATGCTGAAACTGAAACCAAACGTGCTGTGTTTGATAATTTACCTGCTGAAATTGCTGAAAATGAACCTGTTATTGCTGAAACAGAAAATCAGCATGCTGAAAATGGTGAAAATGTCGATGTGCATGATGAATATGTGGAAAACGTGCCTGAAAATGATGTTGATTTGCATGATTATCAACTTGCTAGAGATAGGACTAGAAGGGAACGTAAGAAACCTTCTAAGTTTGATGATTTTCACATGACTTCATATGCTTTTGGTGTTTTCGAGTCAATTGATAATTGTGAGCCTAAGTCTTATGAGGAAGCCCTAAAATCTGTGAATTCTTTGCAATGGATGAATGCTATGCGTGAAGAAATTAATTCGTTGCATGTGAATCATACTTGGTCTCTTGTTCCTAAACCTGATAATTGTTCCTTAGTGGATTGCAAATGGTTGTATAAGGTTAAACAAGAGAATGATTCTGTTAGGTTTAAGGCTAGACTTGTAGCAAAAGGCTTTACTCAACGTGAGGGTATTGATTATACCGAGATTTTTTCTCCTGTTGTTAAATTCACCACTGTGCGTGTCATGCTTGCATTAGTTGCTCATTTTGATTGGGAATTGAAGCAAATGGATGTTAAAACTGCTTTCTTGCATGGTGAATTGGATGAAAAAATTTATATGAAACAACCTGTCGGTTTTGTGGATGCTAAGAAATCTGATTATGTGTGTTTGTTGAAGAAATCCTTGTATGGTTTGAAACAATCTCCTAGGCAATGGAACAAGAAATTTGATATGTTCATGCTTTCTTTAAAGTTTAAAAGGAGTTCATATGATCATTGCTTGTACTTTAAAGAAAATGCTGTTGTTCCTGTTTTTCTGCTCATTTATGTGGATGATATGTTGCTGGTCGGTCCTTGCATTAAGTCAATTGAGCATGTTCAAAAATGTCTTAGTGATAATTTTGATATGAAAAACCTTGGAGATGCTAAAAGGATTCTTGGAATGAACATTATTCGTGATAGAAAAAATTCTGTGATTTTTCTTAATCAAATTTCTTATGTGGAGAAGATTTTGAGTAAATTTTCTATGTCGTCCGCAAAGTCCGTGAATGTCCCTCTTGCTGCCCATTTTGTGTTAAGTAAGGATCAGTCTCCCAAGACCGATTCTGAAATTGATTTGATGAAAAATGTGCCTTATTCAAATGCAATTGGTTCGGTGATGTACCTTATGGTTAGTACTAGGCCGGATATTGCTTATGCTGTTAGTTGTTTAAGTAGGTACATGTCTAATCCGGGTATGCCTCATTGGGAAGCTCTTAAGTGGTTGTTACGTTACTTGAATGGTTCTATGCATGTTGGTCTGAAATTTTCTAAGTGTTCTCAAGGTGTTAAACTTGTTGGCTATGTTGATTCAAATTATGCAAATGATAGAGATAATAGAAAATCAACAACTTCCTATGTCTTCACTTTGTGTGGTTCTTGTGTAAGTTGGAAATCACAACTACAACATATTGTTGCCTTGTCTACGACCGAATCTGAATATGTGGCTGTTACTGAGGCCTTTAAAGAGGCTGTTTGGTTAAAGGGCCTATTATGTGAAATTGGTTTGCTTGAAAAAGATGTTGTTGTGTTTTCCGATAGCCAATCGGGGATTCAATTGTGTAAAAATCCTGTTTTTCATGATCGCACTAAGCACATAGACGTTAGGTTCCATTTCATACGTGACATTGTTTCTAAAGGCTTAGTTAATCTTGAAAAAATTGCATCCGAGTTTAACCCCGCTGATATGGGAACTAAATGTTTACCTGTTGAGAAATTTAGATCATGCATGAGAACTTTGAACTTTGATTCGTGTGATTGATGTGCTTGTAAATGATGTGTGTGCTAGGGTAGTATACTTTGTGTTTGCTGCCTGTTTGATACGTGTGCGAGCTTCGTGAAAAGTGCAGGTGTCGTTAGGCGATGATGAAAGTCCTCCGGTCCCTCAAGGTGTCCGGTATTCGGTGGTGGGCCAAATCGGTGGAGAAATGTTAGGATATTTGGCCCAAAACCAAATCCTTATCTCAGGCCCAAGGATATCTCGGCCCAAATCCCGACTGGGCTTGGCCCTCTCTCACACTTAAAGGGCACGATGCTTTTGGACCGTTGGATTTAGGGATTTAATCCCAGCCATCCTTTGTACACCATAAATACTCCTCTCTCACATTTGCCCTAACCTAACTCTCACTTTCCTCTCTCTTGAGCTGCTGCGCCCATTTCTCTGTGAGAAAACCGATCACTCTCTCTCTCTCTCACTAATCTGTTCTCTTCGTGACTTCCCTTGTGAGAGCCGCCGTGAGTGTCGCCGTGAGTGCTATCGGAGTGCCGCCATAGTGCCGTCGCCACCGTCGTCGAGCTCTAATCGCCGGAGGCGAGTCTCTGTTTGAGACGTGAGCTTAGGTGACGGGGAGACCGGGTGCGTGGCTCGTGAGTGAGGTGCAGCCCGGGGTGCGGGCTGAGGAACCGGGGCTACTGTTTGTTGGCCACCGCCGAGCCGCTACTTACCGAGGGTGCCGGGCTCAAGGGCTATCTGAGCCGGGAGAGCTGACTTCGTGTCCCTCTCCTTCAGTCGTCGTCGAAAAGGGAGTTTTATCATTTCTTCTCTTTTATTTCGATTTTCAGCCTTTATCATATTTGTACTTAGTGTATTATCTATTCGATTATTGTTGTTCATTAGAACTTAATCGCGTATTTGATTGTAGGAAGAAAACGGGCCTGAAAGAAGCTGATTGAATCAGCCCGGGAACTCGGACAGCAGTTCGGGAGCCAACTGTAGACGAGCAGTAGCACCTGGAAGTCGAGAGGGCTAACAAGCAGCCTGTAGAGCTCAAGATAAGCTTTTGCTGCCAATGAGTCGAGCGGTTGAGTCGGGACGGCCACACAACATTATTGACAAAATCACCTTTTTAAATAAAATCACCTTTTTAAATCTTGTCTATGAAAATAAAAAATAATAAATCTAGGATGGAGAAGAGAACTGCGAAAAGAAAAAAATGAGAAAATCTTATGGAATTAAATGATTAGAAACTATTACATGAGAATATCTTATGGAATTGCCCGAGCATTATTTGAAGATCGAGCGCTGTCCAGTTAATTTTAATTTTCTAACTTTAGAATTCATTTATACTTCTCCCAAAAGTAATTTTGATTTTTTTTTTCAATTTTATATATCTATATATATAGATAATTTCTAACTTTAGAATGAAGATCGAGCGCTGTCCAGTTCATTTTGAGTTACTTTTCTAACTTTAGAATTCATTTATACTTCTCCCAAAAATAATTTTGATTTTTTTTTTCATTTTTATATATCTATATATATAGATACTTTCTAACTTTAGAATTAATTTATACTTCTCGCTAAAATAATTTTGAATTTTTTTAAGTTCTTCATTTATGAAAAATGGATGATGTTTATGGTACAAAACTAATTTAATGTCAAAGCCCTAAATATTTTCCACGGGGACACNTCTCCTAAATTTCATCCCCTAAAAAAAACTTCTACAAAACTACAGCAGAAAAATCTCCCCAATCAGCGGTCCTAAGTGAAAGTCAACCCAAATTTGTCAACTCTCAAACAAGGCCTCCGTTGACCTCCCTCCAAAAATAGAAAACCTTAAAGACCAAGAACCAGTAACATTGTTATGCCAATAGTAAACCCAAAATCATCTCTAACACACCCTCAATGGCTTCCAAACTCACCAATTTCCATTTCTCATCATCATATTCATATGCAGCTGCATTATTCATTGCAACAATGAGCTGCACCAATGTCCTCGTAACCGAGGGTGTAATCGGCGTAAATTGGGGCCGGCAAAACGCACAGCGGCTAATACCTTCCGTGGTGGTCGATCTCCTCCTCCAAAACCATGTTCCCGCGGCCCGAATCTACACAACCGAGCCCGACATACTCGAGGCTTTCGTCGGTAGCGGCATCAACCTCGCCATTACCATTTTCGATGTCAGCAAAGTCGCCACTTACGAGGATGCTCGGTCGACGGTCGACCGCAAGTCCGCATGGTTCGACCCCTCCAACATAACGTACGTTTTAATAACACGTGCTCGAAAAAAAAAAAATCAAACTATATACATGGTTTAACTTTAAGTTAACTAACATAATGTAAACATATATCGTCAGGCGAGTCTACGTCGGGAACCAGATGTTTGCGCCGATACTAAACGACACGAAACTACAGAGCAAGGCAGTCGACATGCTTAACAACACACAAAGGGCGCTCAACGATGCCGGCTATAGCCACGTGAAGGCGACCTTGACCCATCCTTTCTTCGTACTAAACCACAACTTCACGAGGCCTTCCGAAGCCGAGATCAACGTCTTGGTCCACGAGCAGTTCATGAGGTACCTCGACATCGTCAGAGCCAGCGGGGCCCCCGTCTGCGTCGACCTCTTCCCGATCGAGATCATGCGCGCCCTCGGCATTCACGACTTCGACTTTGCCTTCGCCGACAACCGATCAACCCACGTCGTGACCGACGTCGGGGGCGCAGTGTACACCAACGCGTTCGAGTTCATGTACGACTCCTTCATGTGGGCCCTCGAGAAGGTCGGGGCCCACGACGTGGAGGTCGTCGTCACCCAGATCGGGTGGCCCACTGACGGGTACCCGAACGCCAGCGCAGCCAACGCCGAGCGGTTCTACAAGGCCCTCCTCCCGCTCGTCTCCAGCGGCCGAGGGACACCCAAGCGGCCAGGCAAGCACATCGACGTTTACGTGCACGCGCTCACGGACGAGAACAAGAACCCGCCAAACGTGCCCTACGGGCGGCATTGGGGGATCTACCGGTCCAACGGGGAGCCGAAATACCGGGTCGACCTAACGGGTCAGGGTCGGGACGTGCTCCCGGCACGGGCCCGTGATATCAACCGGATGCCCGAGCGGTGGTGCGTGTTGGACCCGTCATTGGCGGACGACGAGAGGGTCGAGGCAGAGTATAGGGTCGCGTGCGGTGGGGGGGACTGCACGAGCATGAGCACGGGAGGGTCGTGCAGCGGGCTCGACAAGTGGCAGAACGTGTCGTACGCGTTCAACATGTATTTCCAGGCAAAGTTTCAAAACGAGAAGGAGTGCACGTTCGGAGGGCTCGGGAAGGTCGTGACGGAAGACCCGTCGGCGGGTGAGTGCGTGTTCCCGGTGGAGGTCGTGAAGGGGCAGCAGAATAACTACGCTCCCAAGCGTGCCGATGGGAGTAGAGTTCATGAGGTGCCTAGGTTTGATATGATACTTGTGCTTTTGGTTTCAACCCTTATAGGCTTTTGGTGAGTGATTTTCAGCTTGTAGAATGATGGATAATTACCTTTTAGTTTAGCTGCACAGAATTCATGCTGCAAGCTCTGTTGTTTTTTTTTTTTTTAAGAAGTTTTGATGATGTTCATCAGATGGCATCATTGCTGCAAACTGATCTTGTAATTAGAATAAGGTTCAGTTGTTTTATACATGGATATTATTCTATTTCAGTACCAAAGGAGTTTTTATTAGCTGAACAGATATGTATACTTACGTGATCAGATGGCAGAATTTAAATAATAAGGATTTCTAAATATGCAGGAACAGATTTTACATGTCCAGCTGATAAATTCAGTTGATATGGAATGAGAGCTTATTGTATAAGAAAAATATGCAGACATCAAAGGATACGAGTCATGTTGATTATTACATATTGTTTTACAGAAAATACATCCCGACAAGTATTATTGTTGATTTTGGTAATATTATAATGAGTAGAGAAACGAACGCTTGTCATGTGTATTTTCGGTAAATCTATCTGCAAATCATTCTGGTAGGATCGAATTTTTCCATCATTTAATTTGTTAATTAAAATTAGAATCCATATACAACTAACAATTAGCCATTTATCTCCCAAATCAGCTAAAATAAAAATATAAATAAATAAATAACATCAGCTAAAATAAAAATCTCACCCCACCAAATGTCCTTCATTTCAGATATACAATGCGAGTTAAGGAAAAAAAATACAAATAAATAAATAGAGGAGAAAACCCAAAAGGGCAAAAGACAAAAATTTTGTGTTATTTACTTATTTATGCCATTTATTTCCTGATAATTGTGATATCATCTCGATTCACTGATCCAAAATTTCTCCCCATTATACCCTTCGAAAAACTATGATTACTAACCTGCAATTTGCAGCGATTTCCCTTACGGTTGTCGGCAATATTACTGTCGAGACAGAGGGCACGATAGGGAACAACTGGGGACGACAAAACGCGCAGAGGCTCGTCCCGTCAATGATCAAAATGTCAAAGCCCTCAATATTTTCCACGTGGACACCAAGATTACAACACCAAAAAAAAAAATCTCCTAAATTTCAGCCCTTCAAAAAACAAAACTACAGCATAAATATCTCCCCAGTCAGCGGTCCTTGTTGAAAGTGAACCCAAATTCGTAACTCTCAGACAAGACCTTCGTTGACGTCCCTCCACAAATAGAGGGACAAATAGAAAACCTGAAAGACCTAAAACCCAATAAGAACATTATTATGTCAATAGTAAACCCAAAATCATCTCAACACACCCTCAATGGCTTCCAAACTCATCAATTTCCATTATTCATCATTATATGCAGCTACATTATTCATTGCACCAATGAGCTGCACCAATTTACACGACACTGCAGAGCAATGCAGTCGACATGCTTAACAACACACAAAGAGCGCTCAACGATGCCGGCTTTAGCCACGTGAAGGCGACCATGAGCCATCCTTTCTCCGTACTAAACAACCAATTCACGAGGCCTTCCGAGGCCGAGATCAACGTCTCCGTCCACGAGCAATTCGTGAGGTACCTCGACATCGTCAGAGCCAGCGGCGCCCCCGTCTGCATCAACCTCTTCCCGGTCGAGATAATGCGAGCCCTCGGCATTCACGACATCGACTTCGCCTTCGCCGACAACCGGTCGACCCACGTCGTGACCGACATCGGGGGCACCGTGTACACCAACGCGTTCGAGTTCATGTACGACGCCTTCGCGTGGGCCCTCGAGAAGGCCGGGGCCCACGACGTGGAGGTCGTCGTGACCCAGATCGGGTGGCCCACCGACGGGTACCCGAACGCCAGCGCAGCCAATGCCGAGCGGTTTTACAAGGCCCTCCTCCCACTCGTCTCCGGCAGCCGGGGGACACCCAAGCGGCCGGGCAAGCACATTGATATTTACGTGCACGCGCTCAAGGACGAAAACAAGTACCCGCCCGACCGGCCCTACGGGCGGCATTGGGGGATCTACAGGTCCAACGGGGAGCCGAAATACCGGGTCGACCTAACGGGCCAAGGTCGAGACGTGCTCCCGGTCCGGGCCCGCGGGATTAATCGGATGCCCGAGCGGTGGTGCGTGTTGGACCCGTCGTTGGAGGACGACGAAAGAGTCGAAGCAGAGTATAGGGTCGCGTGCGGTGGAGGGGACTGCACGAGCATGTACACGGGAGGGTCGTGCAGCGGGCTCGACAGGTGGCAGAACGTGTCGTACGCGTTCAACATGTATTTCCAGGCAAAGTTTCAAGACGAGAAGGAGTGCGAGTTCGGAGGGCTCGGGCGAGTCGTGACTGAAGACCCGTCGACGGGCGGGTGCGTGTTCCCGGTGGAGGTCGTGAAGGGGCAGCAGAAAAACTACACTCCCAAGCGTGCCGATGGGAGTAGAGTTCATGAAGAGCAGAAAGACTACACTCCCAAGCGTGCCGATGGGAGTAGAGTTCATGAAGTGCCTGGTTTTGATATGATACTTGTGGTTATGGTTTCAACCCTATGGGCATTTTTTGTTGAGTGATATTCAACTTGTAGCATAGGAAAGTAGATTAAATGAGGGGTTTACGGCGTGCTTCGATATAAATATATCTGCTCAAAACAATTTTTTTTAGTTAACCAGAGTGAATTTTGAAAAAAGTGGTATTGTTAGTTGTTAGTGCGATTTTGAGTTTATATTAAAATAATATTTAAAATAATAAAATAATTAAAGTTGATTTGATGTAAAAGTAAGAGATAATGTGAAGTGATAGTTAGTTAAAATTATTTGAACGAATAAATTGTGAATTAAAGTTGATATGATGTGTAAAAATAATTGATTAATATTATTTAATTATACGGATAATATACACAGGATAGTGAAGTTGGGTTAAAATTTAGTTAGATTTTGAATATAAATTAAATATTTTAAGTATGATTTGATGATGTCTATTAGATGGCATCATTGCTGCAAAATCAACATTTTTGCAACTGATCTTATAATTATAACAAGGTTTAGTTATTTTGTACATGGATATTGTTTTTATTTCAGTGCCATAGGAGTTTCATTAGCTTAATAGATATCAAAGGATACGTGTCTTGTTGATTATTTACACATTGGTATACCGAAAGTACAACTTGACAAGTATTCATGGATGGTTGATTTTGATAATATTATAATGAGTAGAGTAACGAACGCTTGTCATGTGTATTCACGGTAAATCAATCTATAAATCATTCTCATAGGATCGAATTTTTCCACCATTTAATTAGCTAACTACAATTAAAATCTATATACAACTAACAATTAGCCATCTATCTCCCAAAATATCTCCCTCACAAAAACCTCAGTTAAAAACCAACGGATAAAAATCTCACCCCACCAAATGTCCTCCATTTCAGATATACAATGTGAGCTAAGGAAATGAATAAAAATAAATAAATAAATAAAAAGGAGAAAACCCAAAAGAGGAAGAACCAAAAACATATATTGTTTGTGTTACTATGCCATTTATCTTTGATAATCGGGATATCATCTCGATTCATTGATCCAAAAGTTTCCCTACATTATTATACCCTTCGAAAAACTATGATTACTAACCTGCATTTTGCAGCGATTTTCTTTACGGTTATCGGCAATATTATTGTCGAGACAGAGGGCACGATAGGGATCAACTGGGGACGACAAAATGCGCAGAGGCTCGTCCCATCAATGGTGGTCGACGTGCTTTTGCAGAACCAAGTCCCGGCTGCAAGAGTTTACTCGACACAAGAAGACATATTAGAGGCGTTTGCATGGAGCGGGATTAACCTCACAATCACCATTTTTGACATCACAAAGGTTTCGAATGAGAATGACTCGAAAGCATGGGTACAGAACAAAATCCACTGGCTCGATGATGCAAGCATAAGGTATAAATATTAAAGACCACGGCTTTTTTTTCTTTTTTTTTTTTTTCCCTTTCTT